ATCGTCTCTAAATATTCCACAAGGCTCTAAAACCGAGGGAACATTTATAGAGACAAGCCCTTCGGATGACATCGTTCAAAGAACTGTGTCGTGAAAACCTACCAGCGCTTTTCTTACATGAAAGTCCGTGGAGCCCAAACTTGTCGACGCTGCTACCACAGGGGCACTGATGGGGTTGACAAAGCGCTGCTCCTAGTCGGATTCCTACGGCGATACGCAAGCTTTCCCCATCAAGTAATGTGCCGCGATACTTGATGGTAAAGTGTGTAACCAGTGACTAGATTCCTTAGTCGAAACAGCTAGAAGGCGTGCCTTATCTTGGTCACTATTGAAATTATGAAACAAATCTTTCTGCACGCCCCGTACCAACGGAATATCCCACTGTTTTTGTTGGTTAACTTCCAGTGCAACATTTTCACCGGGACAGAGCGTTTGCCTTGTCTGCCCTGCCTCTGTAGCAAAGCATACGTCTACTTTTTTATTTAAAATTATGTTACATAAGTCACTGACACTATGCACGGAAGCAAGGAAAGCAGGCAATGCAACGCTAGAAAGATTTCTCACACCAATGCCACCAAATTTTATAGGTAAAGTAGCTTGAATCCAGGCTGTTGTATTTAAAGTTAAATTTAGAATTTTTTCTATAGCTATTTTAAGATTACTATCAATATCTTTTAAAATATCCGAACATTTCCAGATTGGACTCGAGCGGAGTAAGTATGTAAATCTAGGTACAAGGAGACAATATTTCAAAATAGTAAGAGCTGTGTGGGGGTTTAATTTATAAAATTTATCAACGTGGCTTAAAAACTGATCAAATTTTGTTTTTAAAACAGGCTTAATACTATCGAAAAACAACGGGGCACCTAGCAGGTATAGTGATTCCGTACTGTCAGTTTTTATTCCTGGACAAACATTATTGAAATTTTGAATTAAAGTGTCTCTATGAGAAGTAGAAAAATAATTGGAAAAAAATATTTCACATTTATTGATATTTGGTTCAAGACCAATATTTTTAAAATTTCGGAAAATATGAGTAAGATCACTGAGGACGTCATCTGCTCTACCTCCCAGTGTACCGTTGTCTAGGTACCAGACATTCAGCTTGGATTTCAAATTTGAAATAATAGGTTGAATTCCCAAACTGAAAAGTGCTGGACCCAGTGTTCACCCTGCTGAACACCGACAGTAGAATCGATAACATGGTTTTCGTAAAACAAGTTAGTATTTTGACTATAACATTGCCAAACGTAATGATAAATTTCGGGGTATTGTTAGCCGCTTCTTTCAGCAAGGTTACCCTAGCGATAGAGTTAAAAGCATTCCTTAGGTCAACCTTCACAAGAACATCTGCATCAGAGTTTGTTAAAAATGTACACACTGAATGTACCGCTGCCTCACAGTCACCTCTAGTGCCAAAGCCTAGTTGAGTAGGCTGAAATGTCATCTTAAGGTTAGAGATTGTGTGCCTGCAAGCTAATTTTGAAGTTAAGCGTCGAAATGTGGAACCAACGGCAATAGGACGGATACCGTTATCCTTTTTTTGAAGGCACATAATCTTGCCCCATATAAGAATGGAATGAAATTTGGATTAAAATTACCAGAAAGCATATAGTGACATAATATTGTAATGTCTTTAAGAAGTAGTTTTTAACAGTGGTAGAGCTAAGCGGTAGCTTTTGCTGTCGTACGGATGGGCCAGCTCGAACCGGGGTGGTACCACGACCTCACAGAATACCAGCGTGATGTAGAGGTTCACCTCTGCGTTGCGCTTGGTGAGTGCAGGTGGCCGGAGGCTCAATTACCCCCCCCCCCCCTGCCATCAACATGGTAGTGGAATTAAATAAAAGACTACCCCAGGAGGGTACCAGCACCGACCCCTGGAGAAACCCTCGCTGAGCATCCACGACCAAACTTTTCACTCCTGAGCGTGGGTGCTCAGGCTGCCCCGCGAATTCTGGGGGGGAGGGGCGGCAAAATTCCGCTCGCGACTAATGCTGCTCGGGGCAAGCGGAGCAATACAACCAAGGAGACCCCTGACACGCTATCCGTGAATTTTTGCAACATCAGGGGACTTCATTCCAACCTTAACGCTGTCCATTACCATCTAGAGACGGCGAAGTCGGCCTTGCCCTTTTTAACCGAGACTCAGATGTCCTCTCCGGCTGATACTTCATATCTCTCCTACCCGGGGTACAAATTGGAACACTCCTTTGTGCCCCGGGCTGGAGTTGCGTATTCGTCAGAGAGGACATTTGTTTTCGACGCCTCGGCAGTCTTGAAGGTACGGACCTGTCCATCCTATGGCTGCGCGTAGATAGCGACGACCATCCCCGCGTCTACGGGTGTCTCTATAGGTCTCATAGCGGTAATGCCGACATAGACCGACTCATCGACCACGTTCAAATGGCTGCAGACTCCGTGCTACAACAGATCTCATCCGCAGAGATCGTGATACTCAGTGATTTTAACGCCCACCACGCTGAATGGCTTGGTTCTCGTTTAACCGATCATGCGGGTAGATCTGTCTATGACTTTGCTTTGGCATATGGTCTAACACAACTGGTTACTTCGCCTACGCGGATCCCAGATGTGGAAGACCATGTACCTTCCCTGTTGGACCTTCTGCTGACCTCTCATCCGGACGGATATCAGGTCTCCGTCGATGCCCTTCTGGGCTCTTCGGACCATTGTCTGATCCGGAGTACGGTGCCACTCACGCTCCAATCGCAGTTGCGATCTGCAGCTTGCCGCCGTGTTTGGCACTATAGGTCATTGGGACGGGATGCGGTCTTTTTTTGCATCGTACCCTTGGGGGCGGGTTTGCTTCTCGCCGGAAGATCCCAGCGTTGTTGCCGATTCTGTACCTTGAGGATCACCAGCTGATTAGTGACAGCCAGTACGGTTTTCGTTGAGGTCGATCAGCTGGTGATCTTCTAGTCTATCTGACTCATAGATGGGCGGAGGCAGTAGAGTCCAAGGGGGAGGCATTGGCCGTTAGTTTAGACATAGCGAAGGCCTGGCACAAAGCGCTTCTTTAGAAGCTTCCTTCCTATGGGCTTCCCGAGAAATTGTGCAAATGGATCACCAGTTTCCTTGCTGATCGGAGCATCAAGGTCATAGTAGACGGTGCATGCTCTGATTTCAAGGCTATCAACGCTGGTGTTCCACAGGGCTGCGTGCTTTCACCAACGCTGTTTCTCCTGCATATCAATGATATGTTGCTAACTAGTAGCATTTATTGCTATGCAGACGAATGCACTGGTGATTCCTTATATACCGGCCGTGCCAATATTTCTCGGGAAAACGTCGCTGAGTACCGGGACAAACTTGTGTCTGAAGTCGAGTCTTTGCTTAACAAAGTCTCGGATTGGGCCGACTAAATCTAGTCCAGTTCAATCCCCAGAAGACACAAGTTTGCGCGTTTACCGCTAAAAAGAACCCCTTTGTCGTATCTCTTCAGTTTTTAGGCATTCCCCTTGCTGCCTCAGCTAGTATCGGAATCCTTGGCGTCGACATATCGAATAGTGTGCGGTTTCGTGGTCACTTGGAAGGGAAGGCCAAACTGGCCTCTAAAAAGCTTGGCGTGCTCAGCAGAGCGAGACAGTATTTAATGCCGGCACATCGCTTGCAACTTTACAAAGCGCAAGTTCGGCCCCACATGGAATACTGTTGTCATCTTTGGGCCGGGGCACCCCAGTGCCAGCTCCTTCCACTTGACCGCATCCAGCGCAGAGCGGTTCGAATCGTCGACGACCGAGGTCTTTCTGATCGGCTCGATACACTGGCACTGCGTAGAGATGTTGCATCACTTTGCGTATTTTATCGCATCTATCACGGGGAGTGCTCTGAGGAATTGTTCGGACTAATTCCAGCCGCTCAATTTCACCATCGCACATCGCGACAAAACTCGCGTTACCATCCATACCATCTGGATGATTGGCGGTCCACCATTGTGCGATTTAGAAGAAGTTTTCTCCCTCGCACAACTTCCTTGTGGAATCAATTACCACCAGCGAATTTTCCGGACCGATACGACTTAGGAACCTTCAAGAAAAGAGCTTACACCTTTCTAAAAGGCCGACAACGCATCTGCAATTCCCCTGGTGTTGCGGTTGTTCATGGGTGGCGGTAGTCACTTACCATCAGGTGAGCCGCATGCTCGTTTGCCCCCTCTTCTATAAAAAAAAGTACTCCGTCGGCGTCACCGGCAGAAGCGCTTACAAGATCTTTAAGATGTTGAGGCGTAATTCTTTCAATGCCGCCAGCAGAGTCATTCGAAAATGACATAATTGCTTCTAAAGTGTCTTTTTCAGAAATTTGTATGGGTTGCATAGAAGTCTTGGGAGGCAGCGGTAAACCCTGAGAAGGTTTGACCGAAGGATGCTTCTGACGAAGGCCTTCAAGAGTTTTGACATTACCAGGAGCCAGGATGTCGTCTGAGAATAAATACGGGATGCATTTTTTAAGTCGCGATCCATTACTTTCGACTCAACTACTTTTTTAAAATCAAATTTAGGACGTGGTCGAGATAAATGAGTATAAATTGGGTAATCTAAATCTTGAAAAGATGTCTCTTTTAGTTGAGACATAATTCGGCTGTCCCATTTCAAAACCTAGCAAGGGCTTAAAACTAAATTTTACAGGAAAGCACTTAAACGTAAAATAGGTTAGCCTTTGAAAAGTATTTATGTTAAGTAAAAAATTTGCTGTTGTTTGCATAAAATACTAAATAATGCACATATAGTACTATCAGTATTTTAATATATGTGTATATTACAAAATTTAAAGCCCTTACTATCTTTGATAATTGATACGAAATGGTTAGGTTCATGTAACAACCAGTTTCATAACATAGTAAGAGCACTTGCTAGGTTTTGTTATGGTTTTACGGTACCCTACTTAGTATATCTCATTGATTGAATTCTAGTAACTCTAAAGCCTTGTAATTAAAAGCATTATTAATTGAATAGAAAAGTTTATTAATTTATAAAAAAGAGCTATTCAACTGCAGACATTTGTCCATCATTTGTCAAATCGGCAGACGAGTCATTGACGGGTAAATTATTCCAAAATGATTTTCTTGATTCCGGCATCAAACATACCAATTTATTAATAATTTCTTCTTTTTTATTTTGTTTAATACCTCTTGGGGTATCAAGACTTTTAGGGAGCTCAGTGCAATTAAATTTTTTTACCAGAAAGTCCAATTCTTGGAGGGGTTCATCAAATCTGAAAAAAAAAGTTAAAGTTCAGGCCAAAAAAGTCAAACAAATCTGACTTAAAATAAATATTATATTAAAATAAATAAGTAATACCTTGTCTTATAAAAAAGGTTTCTTGATCCAGCGCTAAATTCGACTTGCACAACAGAGTTCAAATTAAATTGCTTTAGCGGTTCATTAAGACGTGCCACTCTCTTTTTTTTAGGCCACTCATATCTACAATTGATTTCAATAGGTTTTATATTTCTCCTTGATTGCATCACTGTGTCTTTAAAATCCTGAAAATCATATATATTTCTTTGCCTCCTCATTTTCATTTCGATATTGCCATGAACAGCATCCGCGGACATGTGAGTATGGCCTTTGGTTAAATAGCTAATAGTTACTGATTTAAGATTATTCAAGGAGTTATTGACTATTATAATCATTGCAGTATAAAGGGTCCAATTTTTGTTTTGCGCTGTACAATTATCAGCCCATATATACAAGTGCTCCATGTCCCTATTAGCCTGTATGAAAGCATATATGGCGTTCATTATATCACTCGCCTCTCGTCCAGCTTGAGCTTCATGCCAAAGGACACATATGGCAAAATCGCTCGACTTCTTTTCAATTGGAGCAAATGTTAAATTAAACGTAACCAAACGACTCATAAAAAAAGCATCTTTAATTTCAGGCATCTCTGGTAAAATAATCACCTTTTGTAAATCCATTGATAAATATTTAACTCTATTTGAATTTTTGCTTGATCCATCTAATCTGTATCTTTGTAAAGCAGAGTCAGCTTTGAACTTATGATTTTCATATTTCGTTCTTATTTTTTCAGGCATCGAATTAACATCGCTGTAATTCTTCAGTTCTTGTTCATACATTGAGCATTCTACACAGCTATCACCTTTAGGCATATGAAATGATATTTTTAGTTTTTTTATATTTTGTCTGTATAATTCAACCCCACATTTAAAATTTGGATTTTTCTGCTTGAAATCTTTATACATTTGCTGTAATGTTAAGTGTCTCGGCAAATATTTAGTAAATGGTGCATTGTGACGGCGATAATGACTAACAGTGGGCTGAAAACTCATGATATGCTCAGTTATTATGCTTCCATCAACTTTTCTTAGATTGCCACCCCTATTTTCTTTGGAAGCAGATGCATTTAATATCCCTTTCTTTATAGATTTACTAAGTTCTGTTATCACGCCATCAGTTTTATATCCAAGAGTTGCCAAAAAAAAGTTACGGCACACGGGAATCAACTCGTTGTCTTTATTTGGCAAAGAAAAATAACGACTTTCGTTTTTCGAAAACGAATTATTAGAATTGGAGATTTGAACCTTACGTCGCTTTATAGAACATATAGTTATGCATTTATTGAGAAAATTACGCCTTGATACAAAATTTCGTTCCCAATATTTATCCCAAATCTCTTTCCGACTTTCAACTGAAAACTTTGCACATTGCCTCTTGCATTTGCCATCACAACTATTTACGATCATCGGATGCTTTATTTTATTTTTATTTGGTTTCACAACATTTGGTTCAGTGGCATTTACATATTGCGGATTTGCATTTTGTGTTGTACTGGTGTTTGATAAATTATCATGTTCATTATAAGTAAAGACTGGACCGGGATATGCAGCTACGAAGTGTATTTCGGGTTGTCTATTTTGATGCAGAGATTCAGCGGCAGATTGAGATATACAAGAACCCAAGAAGTCCCGGAATGTAAAATCAGTATCAGAAGAAGTATCTTTTACAGATTCAGGCAGCTCAAAATCAGGATCTTCAACTGAATCGTCCAAATCGCTAAATGTAATTAATTCTTCAGGGTCAATTACACTTAAGGTTTTAGGATTTATAGCAGTGTTATTTTGCGAAGATGAAGTGTATAGTGCTTTGAATTTAATTAGGCCGTTATTAGCAGGCAAACTGAAGCAAAGAAAAGAAAAATGCAACACACGACAAAAAGAAACCGCAACCAATTTTAAAATACCGCATACATCAATAATTCCATTTTCAAGCCAAAACAACAACTCATGGTAAACTTAAAACTAAACATGCCTATCAAACCAAAAACAAAATAATAATCACGTACAAACTAATAGGTTCAAAATATTAGTGTTAGTTAGCATCATTAATTTACATAGGTATTTCAGTGCACGTGTATTATAAGGCAAAACAAATAGTTTAGATATAATGAACTTACCGTTTTTCCGTCTCTGAATCACAGTTTATATTGTTATTTTTGGCGGCAGCCACAATCTTTTTGGAACGGTAAAATTGCATTTGGCGATTCATTTTTATGAAAAACAAATACAACGACACTTCAAGTTAATGTGTTCACGCGCCGACGCCGATAATTGAATTGAAGCGAAAGCTTGCGCTTACGTGTCGTGACATGCTGTGAACAACGTGCATTATCCCTCTCTTTCTTCACGTTCGGACTTGATTTCAAAAACCTAGTAAGTCACTTTAACCATTTTAAAACCTAGCAAGCCTCAGACACTTACTAGGTTTTGAAATGGTTAAAGTGACTTACTAGGTTTTTATGTGGTCACGAGGCGGTGAATGGTACACTTACTAGGTATCGATGCTTTAATATATCAGCTTTTTTGTGCGTTTTCAACGCTGGTGTTTTTGTATTGGGTAGGAACTTACTAGGTTAGGAAGAATATGCAATAAAACGATTTTTGTAAAAAGTGTCCCTTACTAGGTTTTGATATGGGACAGCCGAATTGATTTATTTACTGTTTTATCAAAATGAAAATGGGAATATGCAAAAGTAAATAATTTTTGCCAACTATTTTCACTATTAGTAAAACAATTTTGAATAGTGCATGAGCAATAGCAATTTGAAATAATGAGTTGAATTTCCAAACTGAAAAGTGCTGGACCTAGTGGGTCACCGCAGCCACTTAAGTCTCAGCTGGTAATCTTCTAGGTTAGAGAACTGAAACTTGGAAACTAAAAGAACCCCTTTGTCGTGTCTCCTCCATTTCATAGCACATCTGTATCGGAATCCTAGGCGTCGACATATCGAATGACGTACAGTTTCGTCATCACTTGAAAGTAAAGGCTGAATTGGCCTATAAAATTGGCTTGGCGTGCTAAGCTCTGTGCGATTTACAATAAGTTTTTTTCCAACAACCAGTGATTTCTCCTGACATATACGACTTAGTGACCTAAAAAAAAAGAAAGAAGAAAAGAGCTTACTCCTTTTTAAAAGGCCGGAAAAGGATCTGCAAAAAACTGGTGTTGCAGTTGTTTTTGAGTGGCTGTCGACACATACGAGTGCCATCTAGTAAGTCGCGTGCTCGTTCGCCCCTGCAATGCATTGTAAAAAATGCTTGCCAATGCATTATAAAAAAAAGGAACACGCTGTTGCTCATCACCTGGTTTGTTTCACTCTGTCGCCTATTACGACACTCATAAGACGATATTTTTTATAGGATAAGAGTGACAAACTAGCAACACTTGATGGTAAGTGGTTGCTGTGACCCATAGACATCTACATCTATCCTCTATTACAAATAAAAATGCAGATGCGTTGTCAGCCGTGAGGACTAAGATAGAATGCCTCTTTTCCAGTAAAAAGGGTCTCCGGTTCTCTACACTTACCATACGAAACACAGCAGCGTTAAGCTGCTATTTTACGCTGGTATTATGTGAGAGCGTGGTCCTTTCCCAGTCGAGCCGACCCATTCGTGCTACAAATATACTAGTAACTGCAGCATGGCTCTACCACGTACAAAAATATGGGATTTTGGATATTCTTACATCGCCTGCATTAGTTGTATACTGTTAAATAAAAGCTACTTTCGGGATATTGACGCTTGAATATATTCAATTGCTTGTTTTTCCTTAATGCGCGTACATTACAAACTTTAAGTGAAACATTTTTGTTTGTGCTATTTTATAAAATTGAAGTGATAAACAAACTAACAGTGCACCTGATGATAAGTGAACATGCAGCAAAGAACTTCAATAATAGAAGACCACAAATGCCTTTTCGGCACTAAGGACTAAGATGGAATGCCTCACAGCCTATAAATAAACTGATTTTCTATACCGTTCAAAACGGAATACAGCAGTGCAAGCATTTTTATTTAAAAGAGAAGCAGGAAAATATATTCTTTAAGCGACTGTACCCGCATTTCATGAGATAGAGGGCTGGTTTTTCTCTCGCTGAAAGGCCGGTTCCTATAGTCATTCAGTGAGGAAACGCAGCCAGCGTTCTTGGATAAATTATTTTCAAATTGTTACTATATCTGTAGAGGTCGCAGGTAGCTTATGTCACAAAATATCAATAAATCACTAGAAAATAAAATTCTTTCAAACAAATATTTTTATAACGTAAGAATTTTGCTTAACGAAAAGTGTTTTTAATTTTGTAAATATCATGTGTTATTTTAATAACTAAGGAGGCTGCGACTAAACTTGTAGGGAAATCATAAAATTACATCTTATAATTTATTTATATTTACTAATATGAAATTTCTTACATATTATAATTAACATGTAGATAAATTAAATTATATGGGAGTGTATTATAATCACAACACCATGTAATTCATAATATTTCGTAGTTTTTTTAACAAGGTCCCTGCTTAGCGACACTCAGTTCAGGGTTGGCACACTTCATGCACCGTTCGTTTCCGTAGGTGTTGCCATCAGATCCGCACACTGGTAGATAGTTACGAGTACATATACAGGGGATTTCAGCAGCAACCATACTTAAGTACACCAAACAGAACAGCAGGCAAATGAGAACTGTAATGATAAATAAATAGATAGAGGTTAATAAGAAATCCTGCATAAACTTTGATTGTGTTTGTAAATACTGGAAAAAATATAACTTCAAAATATTGAATTTCTAAAAACATTAATTATTTAATTAATGCAGAGACGCACGCACTTATGCAATTATGCACGCACGCTTGCATGCATGCTTGTTGCACGCAGTTATCTGGCAATTAGGCTACTATAACCAATCAGGTGGTGAGAAAAGTAAAATCTCACTTCAATTGAAGGGATATACCTGTTAAGTAACAGACTATATAATCCGAGGTAGAAGAAAATGGTCCAAATACATACCTATTTTTTTATAGAATAAGTGTGACAAACGAGCACGCAGTCCATCTGATGGTGAGTGGTTGCTGTGACCCATAGACATCTACATCTATCCTCTATTACAAATAAAAATGCAGATGCGTTGTCAGCCGTGAGGACTAAGATAGAATGCCTCTTTTCCAGTAAAATGGTTTTCTACACTCACCATGCGAAACACATCAGCATTAAGTTGCTATTTTACGCTGGTATCCTGTGAGAGCGTGGTCCGTCCCCGGTCGAGCCGACCCATGCGTGCTACAACTATACTATTAATATAGCTGCAGCATGGCTCTACCACGTAAAGAAGTATTTATGAATTATTTAATTAAGGTACCTACAATGAAAAATTATTTATTTATTTATTTAAAACTTTTTATTTTAACCGCTCAGGTTATAAAGGACGGACTTAAAGTCGGTCATCATTCAGTCAAGATATACGAGTATCTGTCAGTTAGAATTATCAGTTCTCTTTAAAATTAGAGCCCCGCTTGTTGATTTCTGCTAGATTTGATAAAGATCATATGTATTAGGACCTTCTAACCTTCCGCCATTTTGTTAGCAACGAGCAGTTAATGGTCCTGGTATAAAAATGGAGTATATGCTTTATTTGCATTTTTAGCGAGTGCATTTTTAGAGAGCGAGATAAATATTAAAAATGAGTTCAATTCCGGCATTAATTCATTTGCTCGTTGGTGACGAAAAGCATCGAAAGGAAATCGGCATGTTGGAGAAATAAAAAAAAAAAACTTCGAAAACATGAAGAACTGTTAACAAGCATTGCGCCAAATCCGCGTGGCGGACATTTCCTTGCCCTAAAACTGGTGTCAGACCGGAGCTTCAAGTTCGGCTTCGGCTTCGGTCACCTTCGACCAAAAAATCAAAATGAAAGCAAAACGAAGCCGAAGATTTGAAGATGCTCTTCAAACTAGGTAAGGCAAGTCATGTTATTTTACTACGCCTATTTATAGCTAATTAATTTATAACCTCTTCATTATATGGATTTCCGCAAAGTATCGCCTGATTCTGTTAATTACTGTATTTCGACTTTAAATTTTTTAAATAGGTTATATATTAACGAATATTTCCATTTTTTACAATTAAGCCCATGTATATCATCTGTTTTCGATTAAAAACAAAATGCATATGCGTTTTAACGTTTGGGGATTACGATCAACGCTTCCTTGCCCATAAAAAGTTGGTTTATTCCGGTTAAGCAGATCCATAAAAGTACTACTTGTTAGATTCAATTTTAAATTAAGTTATTTTTTTTGTATATATCTAAATCACTGGTTGTTTTGTTGTTTTGTTTTAAAATGTTTTAATTATATATTTTTTTTCTTAACATAATATGTAAATTAAGATTTTAATTATGGTTTAGCGGTGTTTACCTGTAAGTAATTGTGCAATTAGTATAAGACTTTATTATACATTTAGATTTAGTATGTTAAATTGTAACAATTGTAGGTAGACCTTTTTTAAATAAATAAATAAAATTAATAAATAAATAGAATAAACGTTGCAGCAACAATATGGATTTTTATTAAAAAGCACAAATCTAAAATATCAGAAATTAATTAATAAGACTCACCAATTTTGGATGCCATCTTTGACTTAATTTGACAAGATAATTTTAATTTATCTGACAAAATTCTTGTCGACACTTTTATACTTGCGAGAGTTATCAACGCACTCTGTTTATTGTTTACTTTGCAGAACTATTAACCCGGACCTTGTCAATGTGATCATGTTAATTATTAGGCTAGCGTTATAAACGGATACATAACAAATATTTTTCCTAATTTTATTGTTTTTCTGTATTAATTCTGTATTAACTTTATTAATATTTACACATAATGTGACACTCCCCCCCTCCTTATATATATATATATATATATATACACACACACACACATATATATATATATATATATATATATATATATATATATATATATACTAGCTGACCAGGCAGACGTTGTTCTGCCCTTTTCGACGAATTTTTAAATAAAAATCCGCAATAAAAAAATATTGAAGGTCACTTATCAAGATAAAACTATCCTATCTCTCAAGTTGGACCAAACTGCACACAGTGTACAAAATTTCATTGTGACACGTAATTTTTATATATAAAGAAGATATATGTATAAATTATATAAAATATTTACGTGACCAGTATAATAACCATATAT